ACCTTGTTGGTTTATTACTTTCTCATCTTTTCGACTTCGCGTTTGAATGCAGTTATTCCCGATGTTTTGTTTGCCATAAGTCGAGAAAGTTTTATTCTTATGCGGCCTATGTCCGTGTCTTCAATATCCATGTCACTCACCTGGGCCATTAGAAATTTGCTCATTTTTCGCCTATGTTCTGCTTGTGCTGCTATTAATTCTCTATTGAATATAAAAAATAAATTTGGTATCCATACAATACACTGACAATAACCAATAACAATTCATGAACGTTGTTTGCAATTTTCTTTTCCTTCACCTTCAAACTTACTAAACGTGTTAAGCGTTTGTAGCTGGATTTATTAGTTTCAAACACCCGAAATCTCTCCTTTAGAGTCGTGTAAATGACGTATATTTTCCCTTAATGGCATATAATTTTAAGATAATGTTCAAACCTTTGTTCATTGAACGCCTTGTTGATCTTGTCTATCATATTTTACATGTAAATATTTCCTTTAACCTTTGCAAATAGTTCATCCTGCGCTCACCGTCCACACCAAGCTTAAGTATCCTTAAGGAAGGCATGCCAATTGATGATAAACTTTCAGTACCAAACACTATTCAAATAAATTAATCTCAACAGCATTATTCATTTTCATTCAATAAATCTGTGGAAAAAAATCAATAGAAATTATTTGTGAAAAAAATATGGGTTTTAAACAAAAGATTATATTTACAATGCTTTTGAGTAAAGATAGTTTTCGATTTTCATCAAAACAATCTGTAAAAAATCTATAACTTGCCAAAACACAGTACCCAAGACCTATTGTCAGTTTCAATAATGTTAGTATTCTGTAGTTTTCAAAAAACGTCTGCTTAAAAATTGTTAAGATATACTATTTTGATTTAAATGAAACAAAGAAAAACAATAATATAAATCTATGTATTTTTTTTCAATTTAAAAAGACTCACTAAAAACAAGTGGTGAAAACCGTACAAAAATCGTTATTAACTGAAATATGATTTTACATATTTGACTGTAATAGAACAAATCGATTGATTTATAAAATAAGTAACTAGAAAATGTTTATTTTCATAATCATAAGTATCTTTATTATCTTATAAGCGTCTTTTGCAAATATTAAGTAATAAGAGTCATTGCAACATGGTCAGACATGTTTATAATCTTATATATCCTTCACTGCTTCTTTGGAAGATTTATGTTGCTTAATGAAAAAGAATCAATAAATCTGCACAGAATACATTCTGCTACTGTTCTAAAGCTTGAAAAGCAATCATTCTATCATTGACAATATTATTCTTATGTTTGTCACAAAACGCCGGAATTTTAAAATGACAAAAAATCACACAGACAACTAGAAAATGACCAGTTAAATTCATATATAAGGTAATTTCAGTCAGTATGGGTGTTCATAATTTATTTGAATTTGATTCAGTTACCAGCTTTTTATCCTGGTTATCCTGGCATTTTTAGAGAAAATTTTATAGATTATTCACTTTAAAAAGGGTCTTTCTATTTGAAAGAACCTGTTTGTAGCTTAAAGGGTTTTACATTGAGCGTTTCCAGGCTATTCTATTTTAACGACCTTGCTTTGAAGTTCCGCTGTTTTACCCTGTAGCAAGCATAAAACGCAATGTGTAAATATAGATTTTTTTCGTGCAACATGACTGATGTTTGATCCCTTTTTTGACAACATTTATGCATTTCTCTGTTCATGTCTGTCGCATCCAGTGCTTTCAGTACTTTGATTTTCATTGCAAACAATGTAAAATAAGTTGATGAAATAGTAAATGGTGCCATATTTGGCATACAACATGTTAAGACAACTGGCAAGGAAATGACAAGCTAAGAAAAGACTAGCTATAAATGTTTAACTTTGGATATGTTTCCTATGTCATACGATTCTATTTCCTTGATTAATGTTTTTAGTTTTTTCTTTACTTTAGTTTAGCATAGTAAGCGTTTAATTTATCAAAATAATTAGCATTGTCGTCTTTCTATGAAGCTAACGAGGTATTTTAATTTGGGAGCATATTTTCATATTTTCTCAGTATAATTTTCGTTTTATAATATTTTGAAGGGACATGTTATGCAAAAAAATGCTAATGAAGTCTTAAAACGATCATATTTGATATTCGTTTGTCAGATTAATAGCAATCAAGGTTTCGAACCATTGGGACTTTTGGACAACCAACACACACGACGGGGAAAATTATACAGTATAGCTTGATTCAACTAGGATTTTTCTAAACATCTTTGTTTTAATAATGAATAAATTTTCTTCCCTTCTTATTTTCCGTTATCTTTCCCAGACTGTTTTAACTGATTTATCAATACACGTTGTCCGAAGCATTTCAAGGACTGAATCAGTTGGGTCAATATTGTAGAAAATTTAGACTTCACACAAAGTTGGTACAAGCTTGTGCATGTGTTGTTCTGAAAGATAGGGGTTTCTGCACTTTATTTGAAAAAAAATCCATTCTGAATGACAAATGGATATTTACAAAAACACTACTGGCCTAAATCGGTGCTATTTTTATCATTTTGGTCGTGCATTTTTCCTTATAAGACACGAAGATTCGCCACCCTGCGATGGTTATTCCATTTGATCATCAAACATTCGTCTCTATATCATATGTTTCCTGCATTTCAAAGTAAAGTTTAATCATTGTTCAACAGTCATGTACTTATGTAAAGCACATGTAATCAAATATGTTTAAATCATCACAAGTGTATTTGTTTATTTAAATATTTGTATATATAAATTGTCACAATAATGATCTTTTTAACCTCTTCAACCTCAATATAAGCAACATTTGAACTAGTTTCCGATATATATCGAACGCAGTCAATCAATATTTAAAAATTGCAAATAAATTGAAAACCATTTTGTGCATATGGTGATTTGGGGTTCTCTGGCATGATAAGCCATTGCTCTAATCTAAATATTTGAGGCCGTAAATAATTTTTAAAAGCTTTGCATTAGTCTCATATATAATTCTGAATGATTTAACGGATAACTTGAAATTAAGGTGATTTAAGGTTAGATCTACTTACTGTATTCTTTTCATGTAAATTTAAGCTACGGTAAGATTGATCTGCAGGGTATTCTTTATGCAAATTTTGATTTATTATTCATTCCTTTAAAACACGGGTACCGACAGCATATGCGCTTCGGATTCATTTGAAAGAAGGGGTTTGTTGAAATATCAAACATTAGCCATTAACAATCATCTATTGTCATTTGCGAAGCTAAATTTTATATTTAGAGTTGGAAATTAAGATTTGTGTATTTCACAAAAAATGAAGATACTTAAACATTTTTTTCTGTATTTCAACTTCTTTCAAATTATTGCTGGATTAACAAAATCCTTTCTTTATGAAATGTACGCCAGCAATGAAAGTAATGGGAATCCCATATCTAGCTTTAATGATAGTTCCATCAACAAATGTGTTGCTCTTTGTGATAGTATGTTCGGATGTTTGTCTGTGAATTTTCATGAAGTAAATAAACAGTGTGAGCTAACAGATTATTATCCGTTAGATAATACAACGTCAGGAATACCTAACAACGGATGGAAAATTTTCTTTCGGAGAAACTTTGGTAAGAGATTTATTTTTACATTAGGCATCAAAAGTTGTGTAATTGTTTCAGAGGACATCATTGAAAAAAATAGGGTGGGTAGGTAGGTAGGTAGGCAGGTAGGTAGGTTTACCCGTGTGACTGTTAGTACTCTACATGTTCCCTGAAGCGTTTGATAACCGAATGCCAATAAATGCAACATATACACAAATTCAAAGGATACTGACTGTTTTATTTCAAATAATAATGGTTAGAATTTTACACTAGTATTTCTGTCGAAAAAACAAGGAATTCGTAAGTTTTGGATAACGGGATGAAATTAAACGTCACTGCATAGTTTGTTTTTTTTAAAGTAAAATAAAATAGTGATACGGTTTGTATTTTCAATTTAATAGTTTAATGCGGTTTATATATTGCTTTTAAAACATTCACTTTAAAAAAGAGAAAATTAAGGAAAAATCATACAAAATATCACTCAAACCAACAATGGGAAGAATTCGAGAAACGTTCTTAGAACTTTCGTTATAACTGAAAAAATGTTTATTTATCTGACATTCTATATCATTAACAGTGTATAATCAGTTCTTGAACTTTTATGTCGAAAATAACTCCTCAAAAATGGACATTTCTCGTGTTCAGATCATTTATGATAAGTGACGTAATCTTATATGATGTTATAACTGTTTCCATAACTCCCTGTTGGTGTATGATAATACGGCCCAGCACCGCCTATAAATATAAATTTATTCTATTAAAGAATAAGCATCTTTCTTCTCTCTTCCCCTTGGTACGTGCCCGTCTTTGTGAATGCACAAATCATCGACAAAATATATTGTTGTATTCACAGGAATAAATCTTTTACAAGGAGCTGTAGCATGGCAGTCCTCTACATTTGTCGAGTTAGGTGTTCATCTGATCGCAGAAAAGGCTTTAGACGGAAATGTCCAAGGGATACACAACTGTGCCCACACAAAATCTAGTTACTCATACTGGGCTGTTGAGTTTGGAACTCCGGGTCCTGTAAAATCAGTACAAATAAAGTCACGAAGAGACTGCTGTTGTAAGATATCGATATTCATTTTTGTTTAGAAACGAGTCAAAGATGAATTGATTCCATTTTTTTTGTTCTTTTGTTTTGTTTTTTGTTGTTGTTGTTTTTTTTGGGTTTTTTTGTTTGTATTTTGGTTTGTTATTTCTTTCATAATAGATAATGGATTTTTTTTTGGCACTTTGATAATTTTATAATATGATTTTATGACATTAAAAGTTGATACGAATTACAATAATTTCTTGTATGATGAGAAAATATATTGAAGACAATGCATTAAAAGAATATATTGAAGTATCTAAAAGCACTTGAAGCAAGGTTCAACTTTTAACTCCGCGATAAAGTTCACTGATTTTATCCTAGCCTGTTCATATGTCTAAAATATTCAAATGTTAATTTGACAAGCACATTTACAAGCTTAACAAAAAAAGAAGAAAGTCATAAGCAGGAATTAAAATTATTGTCATAATTTTGAGAGATAACATCAAACCCGATGTTCAATTTAATTATCTGATAACATGACTTTAGAATCAACTAAAAAGTAACATTCATAAAGAAGAGTGATTTTGTTTTTGTTTAAAAAAAAAACAAAAAAAAATTATTTAAATTAAACAACGATTTTTAATTTTTTAAAATATGAATGTTTCAGATAACACCCAGACAAATTACACAGTGACCGTTGCTGGCAGTCGTGATGATGTCATAAATGATGCAGGAACAAAATGTGGGTCATACTTTGGTCCTGCTATAGACAAGGAACCTTTTAGCATAACAATCGATTGTACAAATACAATCTTCGGAAAGTTTCTAAAAATCAAGCACGAATCTGAATATTGTCTGGTGTTATGTGAGGTCTATGTTAATACTCCTTAAATATTTTAAATGAAGTTGAAAACTTACTGTGCACAGCATCACTCTTTCGGTTTCCAACATTTTTTAAGCTTTATGGATACAAGTAGTGATTAAGCATTTTTTTATATTTTGCTACTTTAATGACAAACAATTTATTTTATATTTTACGCTTTTTCTATGCGATAACTACTTTTTTAATATGTTGTAAATCCATTATCAAGATATTATAAAACACATTTTTACCTTCTTATAGAGCAAAAAAACTTTAAACAATGTTCCAAGTAAAAACAAGATGCTATATTTTGATGTTATAATTTTTTTTTAAGTTTTATAATATTTTATTGTATAAATATACACACAATATACAATTTCATAATTTTACAGACATAATCAAGTGTATATACAAAAGGGTTTGGCCAAAAGTTCTAACATCATTATCGTGGGCCCTTCCCTGAGGTTAGTCAGAAATAAGTTTATACTATTTGAATAAAGTTGTGTGATATCAAATAATTATCAATTTCATTTTAAGTAATTTTCAGGAACTAATTTTCATGAACTAATCTAAACAAATGTTTCATATGTAAATATAAATTAATCAAATGAACATTTAACAGAGAAAAATATATATAAAAAAAATAGAAATATAGATAAGCATTATAATAAAATTATGATACTAAGAGTGATTAGATTAAGTTATTTAAATATCTTAAATGTATAAAGTATAAGTTTCAAAAGCAATAGTGTTCCATTTTAAGTTATTTATAGCTTTTGAATAACGTGCTCTAAGTATCAAATTTTTAGAAAAAGGAAAAAATAATAGAATGAAATAACAAAATTATTGTATTTGTTACAAAAATTGAAAAAAAACACTATTAATAAATAAATAAATAAAAAAAATATTTACCGCACAATACCCTGCTTAATCTTAAAGTACTGTTTCAGCAGTAAAATGTTTGATTTTATTCAATTAAATATCTTGCTTGATTTAATAAAAGTCTGTACTTCTTTAAAAAGAATATCATTTTCGGATTCAGATCGCCCTTCTATTCCAAACAAAAGTTTTCGTACACTAAGAGGATGAAAAGATCTTGTATTTAAAAACAATGTTCTTCTTCGTTCACTGTATCAATTGCATTTAAAAAAATAGTGTTCTGAATTTTCAATATGTACTCCATATAAACAAGATGGACTTGAAACAATGTGATTATCATATAAATTCGAATTAAGGTTACTGCAATTATTTCTTAAACGAGTATGATGTACAGTAGAGAAGCGTTCACCTTTAATGAAAAATGAAGGGACCGATAGGGATTTAATTATTTTTTTAATATTTGCTTTAAAGGAATGGAGGGATTCTGATTCACGTATATTGATTGGAAGTTTATTCCATAGTTGTAGTGCTGATGGTGAAACGGATTTCGAATAAATTTCTGTTCTTCTGACAATTGATGCGTAGTCTTGATTGTTTCTTAAAGAATATGGGTTTTCATGTGCATATTGTACAGGTGGGGGAAATAATTGTATTAAATAAAGTATAATAAATTGTTTTTGCCTTTGTATATTAAAACAAATTTTTGAATATGTCTCCTATCTGAAAGCAAAACCCAACCTATTTCTGTTAATAATTTTTGTATAGTAACGGATCTTGTCAATCCTGTAACAACACGGGCAGCTTCATATTAAATTTTTTCTAATGTTTCTTTCTCGTATTGCGCGCAGTTATCCCAGACTAAAGACGCGTATTCTAAATGTGGACGTAAATTTGATACATATATATTATTAAGTGATTCTCTATTAATTTTGAATTTGAGCATTTTCATGGAGCTGAGTATTTTAGAGGCTTTAGATACTATGTAAGATATATGTTGATGCCAAGACCCATCTTGACATAATGTGACCCCAAGATGTTTATGATGTTCGACAAAATTGAGTTGTACATTATCGAAGAATATTTTTGGTTTGATCATATTAAAAAAAGAAAAAAACATTGCTTCGGTTTTTGCCGGATTGAAGTTGACTAACCATTGCTTAGACCAACTTGTTATTTTCGCTAGATCCCTGTTTAACGTTTCTTCCATAAAGGTTATGTTTTTTTAGGACACAGAAAGAGAACTGTCGTCTGCGAAAAGTCTAGTTATACTTAAGAGCGAGTCTGCTATGTCATTGACATAAATTCAAAATAATAAAGGACCAAGTACCGAGCCTAGAGGGACACCCCCTTCTATAGTTGATAAAGAAGGAAATGTCGAAGATACAAAAACTTTTTGGGTACTGTTACTTAAGTAGTCTTTTAACCATGTATTTAGTTTCCCTTGTATAACGTATTGCTTTACTTTGAAGATGAGACCAGAATGCCAAACTCTATCGAATGCTTTCGAAATGTCACAAAAAATAATACAAGTAGAATCATGACTGTCAAATGCTTTGCAAATTTGGTTATATATATCAATAAGTTGATACTCTGTAGAATGACCTGGCAAAACCCAGATGGATTTTGGTATATTAAAGAATTTGTATAGAGATAATTATACATATGTTTAAAAATTATGCGTTCCATTACTTTACCAACACATGGTAAATAAAATTGGTCTATTATTTGATGGTTCATCTTTATTACCTTTTTTAAAAAGAGGCATGACATGTGCAAGTTTCCAACTGCTAGGATAATAACCTTCATTTAACGAATGATTAAAAAGTATACACAGTGGAATACATAAGGTTTCCGAAGTTTGTCTCAACATTCTATGGCTTATTTCGTCTGGTCCAGAAGCTTTATTTATAACTAAATTTGTTAATACATCTTTATTTCTTGTTCACAAATATTAAAGTCTTCTAATTTTGAGTTTGTTTTGAAACTAAAGTCTGGAAGTTGGGTATGTGAATCATCCAACTGAGAGTTTGAACTGAAGAAAGAGTTTAAAGTATTGGCTTTGTCTAAGTCTTATAAGGAGAATGTGTTATTATTATTTCTTAAAGGTGGTATAGAATCGTTTTCAGCTGAATTATTCTTAACTAACATTTTAACTATTTTCCAATATTGTCGAGGGTTTGAGCTATTAAGGTCATGCAAGGAAAATTCTAAACTATTGTAAAAATAACTCTTTTGCGTTTTTCTTCATATTGTTTACTTTGTTCCGAATTTGTTTATATTTAGTCCAATCTGATGTTTTATTACTATTTATTGCTTTGTAAAATAATCTGTCTCTCTGCCTTAAACGTTTACGCATATTACTGTTAAACCATGACTTATCTTTTGGCCTAATTAATGCAAAATACGACGGGATGCACTGATTAACTAAATCCATGAATTTTAATGTAAAAGTATTGCAAGCTTCATTTATATTTAAATTATTAATAAAAGTCCAGTCAGTATCTCTTATTAAATTATTCAGTTTAACAAAATCTGCATTCTTATTGTTCCAAATTTTCCTTTTAAATGGCTTATTTGAATCGAAATTAACCTTTAAGTAAGCAAATGTTCCATAATGGTCACTTATTTCATTATCTGTTTCAATCTCCTGAATCAAAAACTTGAATATTGTTTGTTAATGCGATAGGGTCGAGAAGAGTTTGCGAATTATGGTTTACCCTAGTCGGGATGTTAATAATATTTTTCATGTTATTTGTCAAAAGTATATCTTTAAATTTATGATTTTGCATGTTGAGCTGATCTTCATTTACATCTCCTACTAATATTAAGTGTTGTTTGTGTTCAAGAGCCATTTCTAAGCACGAGTTTAATTTGTCCCAAAAGTCAACTAGTGAGGAGGTCTATATAATGTACATAATAAATAAGTCTGAGTTTTATCTTTTATTTCAATCCAAATAGAATCTGGAACTATGTTTTCAAAGAAGATAACCCGCTTGGGTCTAAGAAAAGATGAAACGTAAACAAGAATCCCTCCCGAGCGGCACGACTTATCTTTACGAAACATGAAATCAAAACCTGATAATTGTAATTCTTTATTTTCAATATTAGAATCTAATTTGGTCTCAGTAAAACATAATACATCCGTTTCTAAAAAAATTTCCTTAATATACTCAAATTTATGGCGTATGCTTCTAATGTTTTGGTGAATAATTGACAGACAATTTTCCTTGCTAAAATAGGACCTGGGTTTGATTCTACATCTCCAGAAAGTTTGAAGATTTGTGCAAAATAACTTAAGTGAATAGAGCATAATAGATAACACAATAGTATAAATGGACTGTAACATACCAAACCGTATTCTTTACCTTTTCCACTTAACAAAATTACTTTACGTTTTTGATCAGTACATTTTTAGACCCCCGGATTATAATAATATATAACTATGAGAATCACAAAGTATATAAATGTAACTATACCGTTAAGATAACACAGCTTAAAAAGAGCAAGCGTCGCTTGAGGCTGATATCCTCGAATTTCAAGATTTTTCTCGCTTGTGATGAAAATCAGGCTTAAAGATGAAATTATTAGTATAAGTAAAACAATTGTATGATTAATACAAAAAACGGCTAATTTTACTGTATGAATAGACGGAGCGTTTCCGTATAAACTGCTGATTGTTATTAAATGACCCCACAGATGCTCGCAATGCCATAATATTATTACACATTAGGATATATATAAAGCATAAGTACATAAAAGACAAGCATAAGCGGGGTCATTGAGTTAACATGTAAGTAAACAGGGTTTGGCGGTAAAATAACATAAAAACTATACATAATAATAATAATAATAATAATAATAATAATAATAATAATAATAATAATAATAATAATAATAATACAAAAGAAAATAAAAGTAAACAAAGTTGAACATATTTGACAATATAGGGAATAGGGGACAGTAATATTGAAAAACTTTTTTTAAAACTGTATTTATCATACAAGTTCAGAATAACAAATCGCTGAAGTAATAGAAAGGCTCTATCTATTAAATTTGAA